GTATGTTTTTCAAACCAAAAAATAATTTTTAGTAAAATTTGACCCGTACTTCCCCTCAGCTGTTTTTCTCAATAAAAATTGTCCACACCCTACCCAGGCCAAAATTTTCATAAATGTGTTTTTCTCTTAAATGATGATGAAAATAGGTATCTTGATGAGAGGAGTTCATTTGTGTGATGTTGTAGTGAAGTTAAATAAAAAAATTACATAGATCGGCATAACTAGGAAAATAATTTACATTGATCGGCAGAATTAGAAACTAAAAAAGTGACTATTTTACAACTTGTTTTTTTTTCTGTTAGAAAAAAAATCGTAGAAATATATATTAAAAAATATACAACTGAATGCACCGTCATCGCACCAATCGAATGATGTGTGTTTTATTTTAATTAGACTTCATTTTCATAAAATAATTTAACTTCTACGAAATTTTAGTGCAATTTTACATGTAAACGGCAGAATTAGGAAAAAGATACATTGACCGGTAAAACTAAATCCAGAGCAGAATGAGATAAAATTTAACCCCTTTGCTATTTTCACTGTTATTGTGCCATAACGGCTAAACATTTTTCAATGAATTATACATCAATCAATAGAGAAATGTTTGCTCTATGCCGGAAAAAGAAAGATTCAGCTCTCTACGTCACTGGGAAGTCGAGTTATTAAAGATTTTCTGAAGATGTTTTTTTTCCGGCAGAATTAGATTCATTGACTCTACCTACATTGAAAAGATTTTGATTGATCAGTTGCAGTATACACATCATCTATTATGTTCTGACGTCAAATATTACATGGAGAAAAATATTTTTTCTTTTCATTGTTTGTCCTTTTTTCAATTGGTAAAACTCATGAATTTTGATTCAACACAAGGACTAACACTCCATACAATTTCTAGCACATTTCATAACATAATTTGCTGATTAGTTTGATTTTGATTATTACCTATGTTCTTTAAACACATCTATGCACAATGCTTTATGCATGACAATAATTTTCATAAAGAATTAGAGTAATGAGATAAAATAGACATTTCCTTTGTTCTTACTGAGAAAAAGAATTCATCCAACTAAAATAATAAATGAGACCATAGGTAAATTTATATTTTTCATATAAAATAGAAATATTATCTGTAAATTATTGAAATCATTTCTATTGGACTATTCACAGATATGAATCGATGAATATCAACTTGAAATAATAAATATTTTTTTATGATTGATGGAATGCTTTGTTTTTCGTAGTGAGAGGTTTTTTTTTGTTAGTAGAAGCATACCCATGTCGTGAGAATCACCGCGATTTTCGCGATTTTCTAAAAAATTGACGTAAAATCGTGATCTATCGCATTTCTTTAAAAGATCGACGATTATATCAGATTTTATCGCGATTATGGGAGAAGAGCTGATTTTCAAAAATCATTGATAAATCATGACAATCATTCATTCACCATTTTGTTATGAACACACACGGATATATAAACAACACCGTTCAATGCCTAAAAAATAAGTTTTCGAAATATACTTTTCTGATAAATTATTTCTTGGTTATTTTTAATCAAGGAAATGCCAATCCCGATCCATGATCTGGAGAGGACTACACTGAAGCAGTCTGATAAGAATCGGACCAGCTCGAGATCGGACAGATCGCACGATCTGATCGGCTTGGATCTTGAGAACAAAAAAAATTGAATTAAATTCAAGAAAAAATCCAAATATGTGTCTTCAAAAGAACCGATGAAATAGTAGAAAATATCAGTAAACAGACGGTTAAATCTTGCATAAAATCACGATTTATCGTAAAAATCGCTGAAATAATCGGGAATAATCGGCGATTCTATCGCGATTCAGCTCACGATTATCGTTTCGATGAATCGGGGTTAATCGGCAATTTTTAGCCGATTCAAAGGACATGGGTAGTCAACATGAGATATTTTTATTAAAATGTCGATATTAATTTAATGAAAAGAGCTGAATACATAACTAGACAGTCTATGTTTTCTGCACTTTATTAGTATTATAGTTAATGTTCTAGTTCTAATGTGCTAAAGTAGCTTTGTCAAAATCCAGAAGTTATGAATATTTGTTAATTTTAATTATTGATAAAATTAAAGAAAGAAGATGATACATTACGAAAGAAATGGAATTAAAAACTTCACTATTCTTTCTTGGTTGAAATGAATTTCATTTACTATATATGAATTTGACAACTTTTAATATTAATCATATGTGGATTAAAATAATGATTTTTTTAACAATAGAATAAAATATAATAAAAAAAATAAATAATAATAACATTGCCATAATTGAAAAAGTTTCAGAAATATCTTACTCCTTCGTGAATTCATGCTACTTTTGGTTGTGATGCTGTTTTTGTTATTAACCTCTGTCTTTTTTCTGTTTTCTGTAATAGCAGAACGGATGATGAGATCACATAAAGTTTTATCAACCAGTATTACCGTCCTGTTTTCCATTCCACTTTTATAGAAAATAGAAAAAGGAAAAAAAATAGATAGATAGATAAATAAGAAAAAAAAGTAGAACAACAAAAGTAGGACAAACTGAAGCAAAAGAAGAATTTCTCCGAAACATTTTCAATTATGATAGATTTGTTGTTATTTGTTTACCGTACATAATGAAAAAAAAAATAATTATTTTGATCAAAATATCATTAATTTCAAAAACTAAATTGTAATCATATTCCTATAGCATTTCAGACAAGAGAAGAATTAACGAAACAATTAAATTCAAAAAGGAAAGAATTCTTTACATACATTTCATTTGTAAATAGTTTCTCAACACTTTTTTGAAAATTTGTTTGAAATTAAAATAAATTATTGAAATCTCAAAATTTTTATTTGTTGTTAATATTTTTAATCCATATTTGCACAATGAATTTTTTGGTTTCAGTTTTAAGAGTATTATTGGCAAAAGATCAAAAATTGACGTAGATACTCCAAAGTTTGCCATGAATTGTATTCAATTAGAAGAAAAGAAAACATTCTTGTGAAACATGACCTGTAAGAAGTATTTAAAAATTAGATATTTGTACCCATTCCCATGTTCTCAGACCGTGATAGACAAGAATTTAAATTTGAGGGTGTGGATGGGTATGGATCCTCTCTTTATTCACACGCACGCACATCCTGTCTTGGATGTTTCAATAAAAATTTATATGACTTGGTGCGCTGGTTGCTATATAATAAAATGGTGTAGAGGTAGGAAGAAGCCTACTTAGAACGGTCAATGACTACAAACTCACATTATTTTTCTTTTCTCTATTGTTCTCACACCACCTCAAAAGAGAACAACGAATTCTAGTAAGTTTCATATACAACCAACACTATTAGCATACTATGAATTGCATTTACACAAATCAAAGTACCTTCAACTACATTATTACTATAATTAAATCACACTGTGTTAACCCATTCACCACGATGGGTCCCACCGGTGGGACCCGCCATATTTTAACAAAAAAATGACTCGAAAAACACTTCTTTTCCTTTTTCCTCGGGCAGAAGGTTTGGTGTAATGTATCATCTGCTGCTCTCCGCTATTGTTTGAATTATTTATTGCATAGAATGGTGTTTCTCATTGAAACAACCAAGACAATTAAATTTGTTACAATCAGAACAGAAGGTTTTTATTTTCTTTGCTGCCGCATGACTCGCTTCTCTTGATTATCGTTGCCTGATTTTTTCGTAGTTGCCGAGCATAACGTCTTCAGACATCTCGAGGAGATCCTTCTTTTTCTTCGAGCGTGTGGTTAGTGAGTTTGCGCTTCGTTTGGCCTGTTGAGTTTTGCCTCGGATCGAATTTCAGCTTGTCGAATGGCATGCCAAACAGTAAAGATTGGACAAGACTTCCATGAAGTTGGAGAATGGTCACTTCGCTTGCAGCGTAGTTTTCCTTGTATATTAAATAGCTATTAACTATTGCCGTCCCAAAAATTAATTTAAATGCCATCTTTCAGTACCATTTTATTGGCCGTCTGAGGCATGTATAGTATGCCGATAGTTAGTCAGATAAATCACTACCCTGTCTCCTTTTGTTGTAATCTAGTACAACTTGTGGCTTCACTCTGCAGTTTCGTGAAAGTCTTATCCAATCTTTACTGTTTGGCATGCCATTCGAGAAGCTGAAATTCGATCCGAGGCAAAACTCAACAGGCCAAACGATGCGCAAACTCATTAACCACACGCTCGAAGAAAAAGAAGGATCTCCTCGAGATGTCTGAAGACGTTATGCTCGGCTGCTACGAAAAAATCAGGCAACGATAATCATGAGAAGCGAGTCATGCGGCAGCAAAGAAAATAAAAGCCTTCTGTTCTGATTGTAACAAATTTAATTGTCTTGGTTGTTTCAATGAGAAACACCATTCTATGCAATAAATAATTCACACAATAGCGGAGAGCAGCAGATGATACATTAAACCAAACCTTCTGCCAGAAGAAAAAGGAAAAGAAGTGTTTTTCGAGTCATTTTTTGTTAAAATATGGCGGGTCCCACCGGTGGGACCCATCGTGGTGAATGGGTTAATTATCCTGATCGTTCGAACGTACATCCTGTAATTTATCGTCCAGCAGATTTTATAATGGCAGAAAAAACAATTGCAACACTTTTAAGCAAAACTTTAGAACAAACACCTAAATATGCGGGTAAACCTGATCAAAATGCTGATGAATGGCTAAATGATCTTTTTGCAACATGTCGTATGGCTGATATAACTGAAGCACATGCATTAAAAATAATACCTACATTTTTGGAAGGACATGCTAAACAATGGTATTCGGACAACAAGGAAATATTTAAAACTTGGACTGTATTTAAAACTGAATTTATTCGAACCTATTCTTCACCAACAACAAAACAATTAGCGTCAAATCGTTTACGAACTCGTTTACAACACTACGATGAACCTGTTATTGAATATTATACTGATATTATGAAATTATGCAAGTTAGTTGATCATAGTATGACTGATGCATCAAAACTTGATCACCCATATCACGGTTTAAAACATTCATTAATGAAGGAAGTTTTACGTCAAAATCCACCAACACCATCAGACTTTTTAGAACATGCACGCCGAGAAGAAACATTGGATCGTCTTGTTACTATGTCTGTTCATCATACCAATGATATCATTGATACCAATACACCTTATAATGCACCACTTCATCCTGCACAAACAGCAACATCCATATGGTACCACACTTCTCCGAACACGTCTTATGCTGGGCACCCGCCACAAGCAACTCAGTATCAATCATCATATCCTTCAAATTATCAGCAATCATCACCACACAATAATCCTTATATTTCAAACATATCGTTTAATGATTCATATCGTCATCGCCGTTCTGTACAATGTTACCGCTGTCACAAGCTGGGCCATATTGCCCGTGATTGCCGAATTGCAAAAAACTAGTAAGGGAGTCAAATGATGGTAGTGACTCCCACCCCTCACAGCCATCGTTATCTTATTCATCCACAACTCCTGTCTATTCATCACCAAAATTCACAACATATTATCGCCAAAACTCGTCTTATTATTCTTCTACTCGTAAACCTCAACCAATTACTTATTATTTCAAACAACGTCAAGTTCAATCTATCGGAAAACAACGTATCGTCAATAAACATACTATCACAACTAATCCTTCATTAATTTTTATTAACACTCTTATCAATGGCAAACCCATACGAGCCATGATCGATACGGGCGCTTCTCATTCATTTATTACACAACGTGCATTACGTACACTATCCTATTTCCGATTACCATCATGTGAACGTGCAGCACAATTAGGTGATGGTCAAACAACACTTAAAATAGTTGGTGAAGTTCAGCTGTTCCTACAATTTGATCAAATTTTTACACCTGTAACTGCTCTCGTCACTCAAACCATGAATACTGATTTTATACTTGGTGGTGATTGGTGTACACAAAATAAAGTAAAAATTGATTATGCCAAGAGTCAAGTATCACTGTGTACAAAACTTGGTCGTATTTTTATCTCGCATGATAAACACATCGATTATTTAAGTTTAGAGGTCAAATCAATCAACGTAATTCATATACCACCACGTGAATCTTGTGCTGTTCAAGCCAAAGTTGAATTATCATCAGTTAATACTGTATATTTTTCTCCTGCTGACACTACATTACTTGAAAGATCTGTTATAATGTCACCAGCCTTATTACACGTAAACAACTACACAACCTACTTGAAGATATACAACCCTCATGATACTACATGTACATTACCAATGAATACTCGTTTAGGCCAAATTACTCATACACCACATAAACTTCAATCGTGTGTAGTATTTGATCCATCTCGTTGTTCGTCATCATGGTCGGCCCAACATCATGTCATTAATACAATCGAACTTAAACAACCGTCATCTAACACCTGTAAAATAATTGATAAACTGCTGGATCATGTTACCAATTGTCAGGACAAACACCAACTACGTCACATACTTGAACAACACATTAAAATCTTTGATATTTCAAATGTTACACAAGCAAATACATCTGTTCAACACATTATTAACACCGGTGATAGTCTTCCGATCAGTTCAAGACCATATCCAAGAACCATCCAACAACGACGTGAACTTCAAGCCGAAATTCAAAAAATGTTGCAAGCTAACCAAATTCGTCCATCCGTTTCACCATGGTCATCTCCAGTCATTATTCACAAAAAAAAAGATGGTGGTATTCGTTTTTTGGTGGATTATAGAAAATTGAATTCAGTCACAAAAAAAGATTCTTTTCCTCAACCAACAACTGAAGAACTACTACATCGCTTAGGTGGTCATTGTTTTTATTCAAAATTAGATCTTAAATCCGGTTATTTCCAAATACCGATACACGAAGCTGATAAAGAAAAAACAGCATTTATTACACAAGATGGATTATGGGAATTTAATGTACTTCCACAAGGCATTATGAATGGACCACCAACTTTTCAAAGAACCATGCACAATCTTCTTGGTTATGGACGATGGGATTATGTCATGGCATATTTAGACGACATACTTATTTTTTCACGTACTTTTGATGAACATGTTAAACATTTAACTGAAATTTTATCTATATTAGCTGAAGTCAACTTTCAAGTCAATCCTGATAAATGTTTTATTGCTGTTAACGAAATAGATTTTTTGGGTCATACAATCAATGAACACAGTATAAAACCTAATGGCGAAAAAATTAAAGCTATTGTTCATTTACCATCTCCTAAAACCCTTAAAGAAGCAAATGAATTTTTAGGCAAAATTAACTGGTATCGTAAATTCATTCCTAATTTCGCTCGTATAGCTGCACCACTGCATAAAGTAACCAACAAAACAAAACATCGTCGACATGAATTTAGATGGGGACCTGAACAACAACAATCTTTTGACGAATTTAAACATATACTAACAACATCTCCTTTATTTTTAGAATATCCAGATTTGTCAACTCCATTTACATTAACAACTGATGCATCAGATATTGGTATTGGTGGAATTTTAAGACAAGATACACCAGCTGGAACCAAGATCAATTATTTTAAATCTCGTCTCTTAAATGATACTGAACGTAAATATGATACATTTGAAAAAGAAGCATTAGCTATTTATTGGTGCATTACCGACCTTCGATCTTATATAGGTGACTCTAATTTTATTGTCGAAACAGATCATCGACCACTTGAAAATTTCCACCTTAAACAAATCAATAATAAACGTGTTATGAATTGGACTTTTAAATTACAAGATATATTACCACAAATTATTGCAGTCAAATATTGTAAAGGTGCAAACAATACAGCTGCAGATTATATTTCACGGCATCTTCCTTCATCAACATCTGTTGATACCACACCACCTGGTCCAACTGATACACCTCATTCTCATATGTGCGATAATGCTGAACTTAATGCTGTTACAACGAGAGCACAAGCCACACTTCTTGCTGAACCACATTCATCAACACCAATAGCACCTGAATCTACTCGTCCTTCTCCATCAACAAGTAATCAATCATATGATTTTAGTTTATCACGTATACGTACTGAACAAAACACTGATTTAAATATTCAAAATATATTACAACAAATTCGAAATGAACGTCGCTATTCATCGTTTCTTATTCAAGATGATATTCTTTATAAATTAGTTCGTCGAGATAATACAGTACTTAAACTTATCTATACACCTGCAACTTTAATTCCGGACCTGTTAACTGCTTATCATGATCACCCGTTAAGTAGTCATTTCGGTATTGCTCGCACTTGGTCACAATTACGAAACACATATTATTGGCCTCGTATGAAAGAAACCATCATATCGTATATTCAATCATGTGATAAATGTTCAAAATTTAATGTGAATCGTCGTAAACCACCAGGACTTTTACAACCTATTCAACCACCTAACGATGTTTTTCAAATTTTAGGCATGGATTGGTGGGGACCCACAACTGCTTCACTTGATGGAAATCGATACGTTTTGGTCATCACTGATCGATTATCTGGCTATGTTTTTGCTAAAGCGTCACCTACAAACACTGCACAAGATACTGCTCGTATTCTCATGGAAGAAATAATTTTAGTCCATGGTCCTCCCGATATGCTGATTACTGATCAAGGTACACACTTCAATAATGAATTAATGAATGCTATATCGAATTTGGTTGGCTACAAACACGTTTTCTCGACACCATATCATCCACAAACCAATGGACAAACCGAACGCTGGAACGCAACATTCGCTACGCACATGGCTAAATTTTGTAATATAGAACACAACAATTGGGACACCTTTCTGCCGTCTATCGTTTTTGCCTATAATCATGGTGTGTATAGCTCAACTGGATTTACACCTTATCAACTTGCATTTGGACGACAACCGCGTAACCCATTCCAGCCTCCGGCAAGCACTTTTACATTTCACAAACCACAAGATTATTGGACACAACTCATGCAATATAGGAATATCGCATTAAAACAAGCACGAAACAATATTATACATCAGCAGCAACTCTCGAAACTTCGTTTTGACAAAAACAGGTCGCATCCCAATTTTTTACCAGATGATCTTGTATGGATGAAAATCTTCATGGGACGCAATAAACTCGATGCTCGATATACAGGTCCTGTACGAATTATTCAAGTTCTTTCACCGGTGTCATTTATTGTTGAAGATGACAATTTTCAACGATTTCAGGTCCATTCAAACAATTTAAGCGTGTTTATTCTCGGGACCAACTCGTACCCTCATAAAATTTCTCTTCTACCATTCCATATCACCGGAATCATCACATATTCACATGTTACTTTTCATATTTACATTTACATATTTTCCACATCTGAATTGTATCATCGTTAATACTCACAAAGTTTTATATTTACATTTATTTCATCGCTGTATTTCATTTTTCTTTTATCTTTCCCTATACACTTTCTATACAATTCACTATCGTCTTAAACGTATCGACTACGTTCTTCTCCGCTACTATGGCTTTCTTATTCATTTGTCTGTGGTTCATCACGTTCCACTCAATCGATGGTTTTCTTGATAGTAAGCCGGTAGTCTCTTGTGATCAACGTTTTGGTAGCAGCAACTGGATCCATTATGCGTTCTTGTTATTACTGGTCGTGGGCGTTTTAGTACTTATCGTTTTTGTTTTTTATGCTTATAAACGGTGCCGCACAATACTGAAACTGGCTGAACAACAAGAACACGCTTCACAACGTGCTCCCACACACGTCTCTTCCATGACGCCCGCTTATCCACCACCCTATGCTCATATACCTAATTCGTCAGTACATCAACCATTACAACAATACACATCGGTATTATTTTCACCAACCTGTGAACCAACAACATCTCCACTCGCTCCACCAACTTCAATCGTATCATAAACACTTCTTTATTCTCATCTGCCGTCTTGGTCTTTCTTACTCTTTTCTATTTCATCTTCATTACTACGCATTCATAACTTTCTTTTCTACAGCTCATTATCTAATATTCTGCGTCTAATTCATTCGCAATTCATATTGTTTTTTTCTTTTTCTTTATTTTCTCTCGCCTCTATTTTTTTTGTATACGATTCACTTTTATTTCAAACTTGTCTCTTTTGTTGTACTCTCTATCTTTTCTCGGTGGGGGAAGTGTCATGTCAGTGGAGCCATCTCCTGACATAAGAAGGATATATCCCTCTATAATATCAGAGTGGAACCGGAATGGCTGAAGAGAGATAAGAGGAACATCATCATTGTTCGGTGTTTTTGTTTTTTGTTTTTTTTTGGGGGGGGGGTTGGTGGGGAGGGGGTAATTCGAATAAAGAAGCGAGAAAAGAACATAACAGGACCCCAAATTTGGCCTTTCTGATCTTGTTCAAAATAGTTTCGCAACTAAAGTACAAAATAACAAACTTCTGAAAACGGCATTCGACGCATTCTAATATGCTCTTTCAAATGATACTATTCTCGAATTGCCCTATCACACTGATTTGACCAATTTGCCTTTTCTATAAAATCTTGCTTTCTAGAAATGATCCATAATAGTAACTTAAAAATACTACACAATAAGAAACTTTCAATATCATGAAAAGATAGCCCATCATCGATAGTATCTATGGTAAAACAATCTCTATTATAACTCTTGTCATTGTTGAGAAAATGAAATTTTATTGGAAAGTATTGCACAATAGGGTACCCCAAATGAGACTCACCCCTCCTACTTGTATCATCTGTATCTCTGAAACAACTCATCCGTTTGAGCTGAAACTTTCAGTTTCTCCCTAGCTCTGTTAGGCCTACCTACTGTAAAAATATCAGCCAAATCGGTGAAATTGATTGAGCAACGTTTCACTGTAACTGGTCGTGGCTTACGTGCAATGCCTCCTAGAGAGTTTCTCGCTAAAACTTCATATGAAATTATAGTATACAATCATTTGGTTTGTATAATACTATGATAACATTATACTTTTAAGACCCTAGAAGGCAGTTACTAAAAAAATGGGAATACTATAGCTTATATATATCAGTTCTATTACAATTATCAGCAATTTCAATGTCAATATTTCATGCTCTGATGTACACAGCTGGTTTGTACTACTTTCTAAAAACTTCGAACCGTTCAAGATCATTTTTCGAGGTGAAATATTGACATACGAAGACATTTCCTCACTTTGGCAAGAAAATAGTAAAAAGTAGACTTACTAAATTTTATGCTGATTTTCACCTAATATTTGAGTAATTACCGATCGTTTAGCATGAAATTGTAGCCCAACTGATGGTTGTCCATTGCTCCAAAGATGAGCTCATTTACTTGAATCATTGAGACTTCAGACTCATGACAAGTTCGCAATGTTCATTAACGCGTCGTTTCCATTTGGTGAAGTGTTTGCTTCTGAAACTTTCAGGAAACAATGGTCATCGATGGAGAAACATCTTCTCAAAATTTCAGATGCACTCATCAAACTCTTCCTGAGTTACTGAGTTCTCATGGCATCCTACTATTTTTTGTGCACATGCATGTTTTCAGTAAAAATGGTGTGGGTGTGTATGTGTGGGTATGGTGTGGATAAGGATATGTAGGTGTGGGGGAGTGTAAGGTGTGGGGGTGTGCCTTATAGTGCATACACACGCGCACCCACGCACCCGTACCCACAACCACACCCACACTCACCCAGACCCAGACCCACACCCACACTCACACCCACACCTCACACCCACACCCACACCCACACCCACACCCACACCCACACCCACACCCACACCCACACCCCACCCTTTAAGTTTTAATGTAGGTATCTTTATGATCGTGTTGCGTTATGTTCTTCCTAAAGTAAAAGGCAAATGTTTTCCGTGAATACAACAAAATGCACATGCAATGCAGAAAAAAAGGAAAAAGACGCAAAAAATGAATCATAACATTCATGTTTCAATTCGGTAGTAAAAGAATGAGAAAGACTTGTGCATAAAAACTGGATGAATATTTCTACGTTTTTCAATTTGCATAGCTGAAAGACTAACGCAATATGGAAGGACAAGCGCGATCACACTGGCAAGGTTCAAAACAGCTCTGTGAAGTACATACAATCGCTAATCAGCGCGTATTGAACCATCACTCTGATAGTTCACAATCTCCGATAGGTATTTTGGCGTTATTATCATAAAAAAGTTCAGAGAATTTTTCCCATTGCTCTATACATCACGAAGTATATTCTATCAACCAAATAAGGCAAGAGCAACAGATTATTGTCAACTATGGATCGTGCATCATGTGTAATACTAACGAGCGAGGTGTTCTCTTTGTTGGATGTAATCATTTAGCATGTTGTGACCAATGTTCAACAACTTGTAACGACATCTGTCCGGTCTTAAATTGCAATAAACCAATCAGAGAACGTTTGCACGTTTTCAAAGCGCGATCATGATTGTAACATCTTATTTTTTTTTTGTATACTGGCATATCAAGATCGCATAACGTTAACATATAATAAACAAATCACATGAGATCATCGTGAAATCTAACATACTCAAATCTGATTCGATAACGATTTGACTTCAAGTCATAAGTATTTATTCAAGAACTTAAATGCATCTCTTAAGTATTAATAAGAAACTGATCATTGAATTTCGATAGTATGTTTTTCGCCATCAGACGTATGTATGACAATACCATCCAGCATAGTTCTAGAAGGTAGGTTCCAGTAATTTTCTTCTCTTTTCATAACTCCACAGTTCAATAAAACACAATCAATCAATTGGGGACAATGTCCAGAATTGGTTATTTTATCGTACTGTTATGATTCATTACACCGGCATAGCATGTATATATAAAGGCATATGATGAGATGTTAATAACGTAACAACCCATGTTTTTCACTCTTGTGTTTTGCTCAAGAGTATGAGGATATGAGGGTGTTAATATTTTTGGTGGATATTAGTAGGATGAGGCGAGGACGAAAAAGGGTATTTATGTGAACAGTCGGGTACGTGAGAGGTGGAGCTCAGCAAAAGATCTGCACTGTTATTCTCGTCGTGATGTCTGCCGACTGAGCCACACATTGGTAATTCTAAAGCGACAAAATAACCATTGTGACGATGTCAACAATAAGTGACTTTTTAGTCATGTTGAATCGAGAGAAAATGAAAAAGTGGATGATGATAGAAAGCATATACTTCTTTCTATGCAACTTAGACTACCAATTGTGACGCAAATCACGATACGAAATTCGACACTAATACACACTGAGGATTTTCAATTCCATTGAAGTATTTAAAAAGCTGTTGTGGTTTTGGCTTTGTCCATTCTTGTTATATGAAAATATAGAACAGGTTTCATTAGTAAAAAATTACTGGGACCCATTCGATAAGAAAAGAGGAAAATTGTCATAGGATCATGCGGCAAAAATTTGTACATTATTGTAGCTATAATTTAAACGAAAAAAGTTGCATTTTCTGTGTTTTGAAATGGGAATATAGTTATTACAAATGCTTACATATTGTAGTACAACTTGTTTAAATATCATCTTGATGCATTCTCTAACCAACATACTGAATTGAAACTCTCAACTTTTCTGAATATCTACTGATTTCAAAATTATGAAGATTATTCTTTCACAATTACAAGCGAATAATAGAGATAATATTTGACTTTATTTTATCTCGTCTTTCTGTCAGAGATTGTTTTGAAAAATATACTATTTTATGGTTTCTCTTCTTCTTTTCAAAAAAGCAGCGTGACGGAAGAAACAACGGGTAGTCGAAGAAAAATAAATGACGCAAGCAACTAAAGAATTATTTACATTTGCATGCAAATAAGTGAGCGTTTTATGCATTTTGCCGCAGTTGATGAATTTGCGTTACATTTTAATTTTTTACATCTGAAAGGACTGAGAGCTTGAAACAACAAGTACAGTCCGACTCATCGGAAAATATCCTGTTTGATGAAGTAGATATTGCTATTGAGTAACTTGGATCGAGTGTCAGCTCTAGTGATTGATACCTGTTCGTCATGAGATGATTACCAACGTGTTTTATATAACATGATGAATATTAGCATTCGATCGAATTATAAGCTCTTCTCTGCAATCAAAATAACATTCCCTATTTATCGATCACCACCTGAAGAACGGTGTGATATCATTCGTAGACCAGGCGTTTTCTTATCACTTTAAAGAAACGTATATTATCTGTTTTGGCTGAAATAATTTGACTAGTTCTGGAAGATGTTCAGAAATATGCCGTAAGATATGTCACGTTAAAAATTGTAACTGTCGACTCATATTAAATGGAATAATATGTTTTTCTATTCTTATGACACTTTTCAATATGTTAGTGACTCTGCTTTATGCTCATTTGATCGAGAATCTTTTGCTCTACACAACTGTTAACTTTGTTTTGATAATATTATTTTTATTGACGTAAAATTGAGAAGATTATAAAATGCTCAGTGGTAGAACTACGACGCTTCAAGACTAGAATAACTGATAAAGTTTTGTTGATAACAGTTATGCTGAATTTTCAAATATACTAGAAAGTTTTTCATAAGACTCTGCATCTTTCAATATTTAACTTAGAAGTTTAGAAAAATCATATTTGTTAAACTTAAATTTTAAATAAAAAATCTGGAAACACCGAAAAAGTCTCTTTGACGAAAAACCTTTGCCATTGAATTTTTTTATTGACAGCAACCTCAAATTTTTAATTGTTCGACATTACAATTACATTGTTTTGTTCGAAACAAAATTTTACATTCGATGGCATGAGGAAAAACATCTTATAGATATAACGTACTGTTTGAAAGACATGCTTTTCAACATAGATCTAAAAACATCACAGATATTACTTTAAAGTCTTTTCTTCGAAACGATTGCAGCTGTGGTTTCAAAAAGGTCATGTCAGCACAC